CTGAGGGGGACGCGCCCGGGGGGACACGCGTGCCGCAGACACCCCCTCAGCCTGGCCCCTCACGGCGCCGATCGTGCTCCACCGACCCAGCCCGGACCGGGACGTGCCCTCGGGAAGGAGCCTTCCGGGTAGCAAAGCGGCGTGGGGACAGTGTGGTAATGATCGCGGTGGTAAAAATGGCTCTGCACGCCCGGGGCTGTACAGCCTCTTGCGGCTGTGGAGTGCTTCCAGAAGGGAAACCCCAGAGGGGTGGTGTAGTCTCCTTCTCGTCCAGACATTCCAAACTGACCTGGATGCTTCCTTCCTGTGTCACCCGCTCGAGGTGACCCTGCCCTGGCAGAGGGATGATCACCAGAGGTCCCTCACAAACCTAGTCTAAAAATCTGTTTATCTGGCAGAGATAAACAAAAAATAACAAAACCCAAAAAACAACAAACAAACAACAACAAAAAACAAAAAAAAAACCCGCATTGATGACAAATATGAATTCCAGTGGTGTGTCTCCACATATACTCTATGCAGAGGTTTGAAAGTGATTGAAAAGAAGGGGTAAAAGGATGGGTCTGGACAGTGAACCATCAGCAGTGAAATTTAAAATGTGCATTTCCCTACTGTTGAAGTGTACTGACCAGGTACAGTTTCCTTATTGACAAAACAAACCAGGGAATTTCCCAGCCCTGATTCACAGTGCCCAGGCTGATTTCACACCTTGGGAGTCCCCCAACCCCATGCAAATAAAAATGTGGTACTTCTGTGGGTTTTTTTTTTCCTCCTTACCAAATGAAAACAGTACAGTAAGACCAAAACAGGCAAGGGACAATCTATTAATCTCTCACAGGAATAAACAAAGTTGGATTTTTGGTACTGACGGTGGTAATTTAACAAAACAACCTTTCCCACTGAACATATAGGTTTTGGATGGATAACACTTACAGCCATTGGTTCAGTAAAAACTTCTAAAAGTCAAATCTTCAGGATGGTATTTTGGTAACCAAATTAGTTTAAATTTAATCATGCTACCACACTCTTAGTAGGTTAGAAAATGACAGTGTTTCTGTACCAAAGAGACAACTTGTCACGTATGGAAAGTGCTGATAAGCTGTTGGCATGAGCAGCCCCCTTTCTGAGGTCGCTGCTAGCCTTTCAGTAACAGCAGATCAGTTTTTTCAACAGCACACAGAGATTAATCTGCAGTTTTCCTTGGGAGAGAAAGGTATTTTCAGTGCAGATGAAAGGAACAGAGTTCTGTGAGAGGGATGACATAAACAGCAGCGTTGTATTAATGAGGGCATTCCTACAGTGAGATATGCCTGTGCCTCTCAGATATTTAGTGTTCTCTTGGAGAAAAAATGCAGCTAGGTTAAGAGCACGTACATTTGGTGCCACTGACCACTAGGAATTTGCTGCTCCTCAGTAAAAATAATGTATTTTCTAAAAGCCACTGTGACTGAGAGTAGGACTGGCTTTTAGGTTACCTGGTGAGTTTTTATTTGGCTTTGGGGTCCCCGTCCCCACCCATGTGTTCTTTTTCAAGAGGTTGAATTATTGCTGGAGTTATTTATAGGCCGGAGAAAATGAGTCCTCTTGTTACACTGGGATTAACACTGCTAATCTCTGTCTTGGCATCCTGGAGAGCACAGAGGTCTGCTCCTGGGCATGGAGCTGGCAAATAAGTGTGTCAGCAGTGTACACTGAGCTGCCCTTGTGAGTGTGTCATGGCTGCAGGGCTGGCTGGTCTCCTGACAGGAATCTCCAGGAGCCATGCCACCGCTCCCTTACAGTGTTCCACAGCACATTTTCCCTCAGGCTTAGCACCAAATCAGTTTTTCCTGTGAGATACCAGCATGTCTTGGTGCTAAAGAGTGCCTTTTATTTAAGTGTAGGTCAAGGAAGTTCAATAATAGAGAGGATTTTGACAACTCACTTAAAAACACAGGCCTGACCCTCCAAGTGGGTAACTGAGTGGTAATTTTAAATATATGACTAGGCCCTCTCTATTTTATTTAAGTTCTCACTTGAGCAGAACAACATTTCTAGAAGCCATATTAATTTCCAGAAAGGAAGAGGTGTGAGTTGTCTTTCACTGAAGGTATGAAACCCAAAGTAAACTTTGTTCTCCCTTACTGAGGTGAAACCTCTCCTTTGGTTCAGGCAGAGCAGGGATGCTTTGGTCTCCTGCATCTGCAAAGCGTGCAGCAAACCCCACCTATTTAATGCAGCACGTGTTTGGCAGTGTGACAAACAGATCAGAAGTGTGTTTCCACTGCTTAAAAAGCAAACAAAACAAATTTTAATACCTTGAAAGTACAAGCAGTTGCTTTCTGGTTGACGTAAAACAGTGGATGATCTGATGGAAACTCTGGTGAAAAATAACAGAAAATCAGAAATACAAAACCTGAAGTTAGGAGAGATAAGCTACAAAGGTTGAGAAAATGGGGAATCATAATGTAGAGGCTGCACCAAGGCCAAAATACCAGTGATCATTTGAGGGGGGCATGATGGCCTATGCAGTGTTCTTTTTTCTTAAACCTTCAACTTGATGAATTGTGAAATGATAGGAGATACTAAGCTATCATTAAAAAAAACTGAAACAAAACAATATGACAGTGGAGCCAATACTGAACTTGTAGTTCATGAAAACAGAGTCCCAGTCACCTGCTGTGTATGTCTCCACCACAGTACTGGAACCTTTTGCTTCTTCCTTCCTTTTATTGCTTGGGGTGTGAAATGTAGATACGTTCCTCCTTTTTAACTAGTTGTGTAATGGCAGATCTATGTGGCACATAAATGATCCACTTCCTGGCTCTGTTCAGCACACAGCACACAGCTATCACTGTGTGATAACACTATGTGAAGGTTCTGTCCCAGTTGGTGTCACAGGAGCAGGTCTAGAGGGGTTTTTAATGCAGCAGTAGCTGTGTTCTCCGTGTCCAGACTGCGAGAGCCAGAGCTTGTGCCAGAGGGCCTACCCATAACTTTATTTCCCAGCGCTGGAAATCTCGGTGCCGGCTGCCTCGGGTGGCCTTGAGCCTCAGAACTCAGACAGGTGTCCTGTCCGTGGGAGCAGAGTAAGGCAGCTTTGAGCAGACTGGCTCACATCCTTGTGGGAGGAACTTGGTCATCTATAAAGTCTGTGCTAGCTGTTTAGCTAGACCACTGTAAAACCTTTAAAGATTTATGGAGGAAAGCTCTAGCTGAGAACACTGCTTAAACATGAAACACCAGGTATTTCACGTGCACTTGGAGTGTGAAACGTGACGGGACTCTCAGGGAGGAGATGCAGGTGCTCTTCTGCCTCTGCAGGCAACCTGCAGAGGTGTGAGACTGTTGGGTCAGTGATCCAGCTGAAAAAATACTGTATGCATCAATTTACTTCGCTACCATGAAATCTGCAAATATAAAGAAGGGTCATGTTGTTTTAGTAGGAGCAAATGGTCTTCCTTTTCTTGCCATGGGAACAGAATCTCTGAAGGCAGTTTGCTCTCAGAATCGTCTGCTTTTTGAGAGCAATAGGATGTGATTTGTTCCAAGGCAAAGTGTTTTCTGAAGAGGCTGTTACATGCTTTCCAGATGGGCTCTGCATTATCTGTCCATACTGTTGGGGTACACTTACACAGCGCTGCCAGCAGCAGGAAGTTGCTAATGTGCTCGCTCGCGTGGTTGAAAATGCCTTAAGGTGAGCTGCCAGATTTTCAAACAGAGGTTCTTCTGTTTAGCATGCCAGATATTTCTTAAAGAAAACATACTCTATTTTCTCTTGTCTGCGATACCACTCAGTTGCCCTATTGGCACGGAAATGATGTTCTAGTTACGTTGCAGACTAAGAGAAACCAGGTTTTGCTTTTTTCCCTGGAAGGGGTACCAAGTAAAGCAGACAAACAGATGGTTAAATTACATCTTCATAATGAACACACTTGATATTAAAAACTTGCCTGTTGATATTGCTGTCAGCATTCAGATAGATAATTATACGTAGCAATGCCAGATGTGTTCTCTGATGTTGTTTCCACATGGAAGGTTGTCCTGGTGCACGCTGACATGTCTTACACCACTGTCTAGACGTGGCCAACATTACTCTCAGCCGAGATCGACACAGTCACGGAGACAGAGGTAAATCTGTAATGCAGTTTTTCAACCCACTCAGCATAGTGCAAAGGAATTGCTGTAACCTGAACTAAAAATGAGCCCAGACAATAGAAGCATATTGCCGTCTTGGCCTACTAACACAAAACGCAGGGTTTTTTTGCCTTCACGTGTCAAAATGAAAAATGTGCAGCTTAAGGGATTACTTTCATATTGTAAATTAAAAAAATGAAATTGTTCAAGAGTGGAAAGAAACCCCCAGTTTCTCCATGCAGGAGGTGAGCAGAGCAGTTCCCCGCTGGGGAGCACAGCCACCTGTCAGTGGCTGAGCTTGCTGTCCTTCTTCTCGGCTCCCGTCTACCCGGCGAAGCAGCCACGCTGACGTGGTGCGGTGGGCACACGGCCCAGGCTTTGATCACAGATCTGCACGTCAGAGCAGGCTGCAAACCTGGCTCAGCTCCCTTCAGGTGCACACAAAGGTAAGATTTTTATGTGCTTCTCTTTTTCAAGTGCACGATACGGCGTTGTCACCAGAGTTTGCCTGTAGTGCTCAAGTTTATCAAGAAATGGCATAAAGCCCCCAAAAAGTCAAGAGTTGCTTTTGTTACTGTTTGATACATTTAGTCTAACACACAGAACATATTTGAACTAAAAATTTGGTAAAGGGTTAATTTATCTTGAATTGCCTTTGGGGTTTTTCCTTTCCTCAGGTACTCCGTTTGTTGAGGTGTGTGTATAAACACCCAGGGAAAAGTTACATTTCTTACCTAGAAGGGTAACTAACGACCAGAGCTGAAACTGATCCTGCCGAGCAGACAGCATCATGTGCTCAGACTCGGGCTATAAATCTCTGAGCAGCATATGTTGCACTCATGTTACTGAGACACAGCACGGCCTGCCCTGCTGCTCATTCACTGGGTGACGCTTGAAAAAAATCCCTCTGACTGTCTCTTAATAAAATGAAAGCAATATGTGTCTCTGGAGTCCCATTTACTGACTTCAGTGGGAGTTGTGCTTGACAAAACATTGAATAAGTGTAGGCTTCACCCCTGTATCAGCCTGTATTAGATGACTTGGTGTTACTCTGAGTCAGCAGCTGCTCAAAACCCTCTTTTGAAACCTTGGAGTTTCCCTTTAAGACCCGATGAGATCAGTATCATTCAGCAGCTCATTTTACTTCCTCAGCATTTTCTCACTTCCGCATTGTACATGCTGGCAGTCGTGATCAGATTGTTTCAAAATAGCCCTGAATGCAGGAGATTTCTGAGCACCCAGCCTGATCTCACAGCAGCAGTGAGCCAGCAAATCACTGCTGTGTCAGCTGTTTCTCTGGATCGGTGTTAGGGTCCTGGGGGGCAAAAGATGGTCCAGACTCTTTTGCAGAAAGTGTAACACAACATTCTGCAAATTGTTGAATTCTGTTACTTTTTGTGACAAGACAGTGTGCTCTGGAGAGGATGGAATTGCATTAGCCAAACTCTGTCAGTGTCACCATCTAAAACCTAGAGAAGCTCTCACTGACCATGAAATTACACCACCAGTGTAGGGAGCATACACTGTAAAAACCCCAAATCAATCTAAGAAAGCTTCCCATGCAATGATAGGTTTTTGCTTTTCACCATGCCCCCTCTCACCAGTGAAGTAGTAGTAGATGTTTGTCTGTCACATAAAATTGCAGTTTCACGTGTGCCAGAGCATGAAGTGCAAGAGCTCAGTTCTTTCCTCCTGCAGTTCTGCTCTCAATTTCAGAAGAGTTGTGCCTGCTTTACACCAGTCCAAAGAGAAGGGAATCAGACATTCCATCTTCAGGGCTTTTGTTTCAAAGATAAATGACTCTGTTTTGCAGCTTTCCCTGTGGCCTGTTCCAGAGATCTGCTGCCAATTCAGACTGGCTCAGTGTCAAGACTTGTCACATAGCAAAAACAGTTGAAAAATAGCAACGCTCCATCTGATCGGCTAATTTGGAAGTTTTGTGCACTGGGAGATGTAGCACTTGGGAAGGCAGCAGAGCCACAGAGCTTTTAGGTACCTGTTTCTGTTAGAATGCTCTGCAGAGGTTTACTCTGTGTGTTTTGGACAGAAAGCAGATGACTCCAGAAGCTTAAACACTGAACGAACGGGGAGGGAGAAAAGAAACAGCTCCTATAGAACACATGCAAATGTAAATGTGGGGCCAAGCACAACACAGCAATGTGTCACTTTGGGACAGGAGATAAACCGAAGGTCAGCTAAAGCAGTGCTGGGTACCCCTGCAAAGATTCACAATTGTTTTATAACTTTTCTCAAGAAGAGAAACATTTGCTTCCTGCCTTAGCTTAAAGGCACGAAAAGAAATAGGGCCAGATTCATGTCCTTTGGGACTTTTCTAGTGATCACCAGAAAGAAATCATCTCCATAAACACTTAACACATTTCACCTTCGTCAGTAATCGAGTCCACACTGGTGAATATAAAAGCTTTAAAGTGAACCAGACACCATTTCCAGGGGGAAATTTTGTTTTACATCAAGTGCAGAGTGGACAGATTCACATCTTAAAGCACATGATATACTGTTTTGGAAACCAGTTTTAAGTTAGAGCAACTATTTTATCAGAAATAACTCCTTGAACTATGACATGTGGGAGGCAAAAGAGTTCAGCCATGGTCAGAAACACGTCAGCTGTTCATATCATGTTGTAATGTGCATAACTTCTTAAAGAGCTATTCAGGCCGTGAACTTTAGCTTTAGTCTAACTAACACCTGCTTCCAAACAAATGATTGCCTAAGTTCTCTGTGCAATTTTGAGTGGAAGTTTCATCCTGCAGAGTCTGTGTATGAAGTTATGTTTGTTTTTTTTTCTTTGCTGTGGGTGTTCAGAGCCACTGACTAATCAAAAGGAGTCTCCTGCTTCCCTACTCGTGGAGCCAAACAAGAAACACAGTAATAGGAGTGAGACTTTACATCTCCCATTGTCAAAGAATGGGTTGTGGTGCTGTTACTCAACAGCATACAGAATTTTATTCCACTGTCATCTCAGCTGTGAGAGATGCTAATTAATTCAGAAAGATTTTTTTTTGTTTTCAGGATGCGTGTGAGCAAAGCTAGCTGAAATGCCAGTTTCCACATTTCAGACCTGACAGTTAAAAGAAAATGAAAGAAAACTTTGTGCTTGTCAGCTGCTGAGGTTTGCTTGAGGGATACATAGAGAGCAGTTCCACATGGGTGTGTCCTCCCACTTTCTTAAAAAACATTCTCTTCTAGTTCTAGGACTGCATTTCAAATCTTCTAACAACTGCCTGACTAAAATAAGCTTTGTGAGGAACTATTCAATAAAGCACAGTATGAAGCTACCACTGTGGATAAGGAACATGATAGGGTCTAAGGCTTGTTTTGACCACCCCAGCTGCCCATCAGCTTGGAAATGGCATTGAAATCCTTCTCTTCAAGGGACATCTGGAATCAGCTGTGGGACAGCACAGGGCACGGTCACAGAGCAGTAACTCAGCTCTGAGCCCAGCCTCAGCCAAGTAATTTGGGATGCTCAAGTGTTCCCAAGGGATGGACAACATTTTCTGCATTCAGGACTAGCAGAACAGAAATGTTACAACCAGCAGATGGGTAAATGTACAATACTCTGGTGACTTCTTTATCAAGTGTTATGTAACTACTTTAGGAGCAACCTCTTATTTAAAAAAAAACAAAACAAAAACACAACATCCCTTACACTACATCCAAAGCCTTGATTATACTGCCTAGCTGAACTTAATTGTCCTAAAGGCAGAGTTTGCCCTCTCTCTGCTCTCAAGTGCTGATTCCTACATCCTTGCTGATCTGAGGGCAAATGGCAGGTCATATGGGAGAATTCAGTCAGCATTACACCATCAGCCTACTCCTCCCATTCCAAGATGCCCACAACCTCACATCAATGGCTCAAATGTACTTAAAATGAGCACACTCTGTATTCAGTTGTGATTAAGACAGTGAGTCCCAGCTCGATCCCAAAACACAGTGTTTTTTCTATTTTTTAAGCAGAAATGTCTTAGCTTAACAAATTTTGCACTTCTAGGATTCACTTCTTCAGCTTCTCTTTGCTGTCATGTAAGAGAATATTTAAAATTCCCCAGAAAACTCTCCCTTAATTGTAAGATTCCCAGAGCAGCTATTTCAAACAAGGAACAGATCAAACAGGATGAGATTTGTGGTGTGTAGAGTCAATAATACCAACCTGTGGAACCTCTAGTTTACAGTCTTTAGCTGACCTAACAAAGGGCAGTTTTTCCTCTGGAAAGCACAAAATCCTCCAGAAACTGAAGTGAAAGCTGTGTGAGACCGTCTACTGCCAGAGAGAGAAAGCAGTATCAGTCACTCCAGGTAACATAGCTGACTGCCTTCCAACTAAAGGCCCATTCCCTGGGAGGCAGATACCTTTTACCTTGGACATGGAAATCATCTAGGAGTCTCCCTCCTGAATTACCTGAGGTATGTGACAACCATCAAGATTCTTGTAAGCCTTACAGCTAGAAAGTTCCAAGAGTGTCACATATAAGAGAAAAGAGAGGCATAACAAATCATTCCTTTCTTAGGAGACTCAAAGTAACGTGTGTTGCTGTAGAAATACCTGTTTTAATTGGATTTTGGGCTCTCGGTACTTCAGAAGATCCTAAGGCAATTTCCAAGCCACAGCTCTAGTTCTGGGGAGGTTTATGGTCAAGCGTGGGCTTTACTCTCTGGGGCTGGAAACAAACTGTGTGTTTTGTTGCACATTTCCATGCACCCCTCCCTAAGTATCCACTATCAAAACCATGGGAAGCTCCAGAGGAAGGAGTCAACTGGAGTTCATGCTGATTTTTGTTGAACTGCATGGGAGCATACAGGGAAACAGCAAGCAGAGCTGCTCTTTCACCCCATGCTGCAAGTAAAGAACAGCCCAAGCCATATTTGAGTAACAGGAATCTCTACAGCAAGATTTAAAACCTAATGTGTTGTTGGGATGCTCTTCACACCAGTGTATGAAGTGCCAGAGAAGAGACAAAGAGAAGTTTTCCATTTGTTTTTGACATTAGGAAAAACCTCCACCAATATTAAGGGTCAGATTTGAAGTATTTAAAGAATATAGACTTGGTATGCAGTGTTCCCCAGTGATGCTTGACACCCCAGATGAGAATCCTAAGGCTTAGGCAGGATCAGTCAAATTACTTCTCCTGACAAAGCTGATCTAAACCTCTGTTTCCATTTTTCTGACCTGTGTTTTCATGCAATGAAAATTTGCAAGCTGCGGGTATTCAGCTTCACTGAAGGGACAAACAAAAATCTTTCTGCTGCAAAACAGTTTAAGCAGTTGGGAGGGAGAGCTCAGGCCTTGTCTCTTCTCTGCAAAACACAGCCTTACTTCTCATATTCTTTATTTTGAGCCATTTCAGCATTTGTATATACCTTGTTTTTGACCTATTATGGGAGGATAATACACATCATCTGTGCACTCAACGTATTTCACCATTTTAAGGAGCTAATGCACGTTATTATCAACAGCATATTTCTAGTTTTAATACCTCAGTTCTGACAGTCTGAAGTATGTCTTTAATAGCCCAGAAACAGTCCTACTGTGAGGGGAACGAGGCAGTGCAAAGCAATCCTGAAGCACAAAGCCTATTTCAGCTCACCAACACCTTGTCCCAGTGGAGCAGTGCAAGCTGAGTGACACACAGGGCTTGGTTTCAGACAGGTGGCAGAGCTGGGAAGGCAGAAATCTCCCAGCCATAAGTCCTATTCTCCTCTGTACCCGTTTCCAAAGGGAACTGTCGTTCCCCTGTTGGTAAGTTTTCATCCAGGCTGTTGCTGACAAGCCATCAAAGCATCCAGCTAATCCTGCTTACACAACCAGTTGTACAGTCATAGGGGAGAGGACAGGAGCTAGACCTGAGAAGGCTTTTGGCCTCCTGCTGTGCTTAGATTATGATTTAATGCTAAAAAGTTGGCATGGCAACCAAATGCTTGGCAACAAAACGCCAAGGAATGGGTCGAGAGAGGGCCAAGCAAAAAGCAGTGCCCAGCTCTTCCACGGGCAGATCTGTGCCCTGCATACCCATCTTGTCAGCGCTTCTGTAGCAGCCGGGGTTACAGCAGAAGAGGGCATTATTAATAAGCTAGGCAGGTCTGCAATAAGTGAATAGCAAATTTCTCCAAAACACTTGAAATGGACCCTGGCGCCTCATTCAGGCTCCTTTTGCTCCGTCCACCAATTGCCACACGTTGCCAGGAGACGGTCTTGCTCCACAGGAGGACTCGCCACTGGCTGCCATTGTGCTGTCTCTCCGTGTCCCCCTCCTCCCCTGTCCTGCTCTTGCTCTCTGCACTAACAGAGCCTGGCAGTGCTCGGTTTCTCAGTTCTGACACAATTACTTATTTTAATTTGAAAGTTTTCAAAAGCTTTTTGGTTTTTCTGCGGTGATTAACTGAGCAAAATCCCCATTCTGCACAACTCCAGGCTTGTGGCACGCGGGCTGGAAAAGGGAGTGCCTTGAAGGGTAGGCTGATCTAAAGGGGGATTAGTGATGTACACTGGGCAGAACACTCCTTTGCTGCATGAGCACCTTGGTTGCGTCTCCTGAGGTCCAAGGTATTAAGTTTGTGTGCCTGGTTAGGGTACACAAGTTCCATTTAGTCTCACTTGGGTGGGAACTTTCTGTGGTCCATTAAAGCATGCCCTTGGCTATTTAAATGTTCCCAGACTTTTCTTGATCATATAGGGCCTCAGAAACTTCTCTGGATATTGGCAGGGTTAGTCCCATGCACATCAGGAAAGAAGCCATTCGTTCTTCAGCCTTCCTGAGGCACTTCCCTCGTACCCCTAAGGAAACTTTTTGAGTATAGACTCAGTACGGGCCCATACAGCATCACCTTCCCAAGTCTGCTGTGGAGACCTGGGCTGCTAAGCAGATAAGTGAAGTTAAAGGTTAATCAGTTCCAGCGTTGGTTTGCCAAGTACTCTGAGCCAAGGGTCAGTTTATACAGCCATTTGGCATCATCTTCTGTGGTCAGAACAAACTGAAAGGTGGCAGCTGAGGAGGAGACTGCTGTTGTGACAGAGACCTCGGCGCTGAAAGGCTCCAACACAGCGGCGTGGCCAGGCTGTAACTAGAGAACACAGTACTTCAACTTCCTCGAGGACCTTGGAAAGCAGACAGGAAATGAGCGGGGATTTCAGCGTGCTCTTTGCAGGGACTTGATGACACAGCCTGTCCCTGGGCCTGTGGGGAGGGCAATTCCTTTGCCTGTTATTCACAGTGCTGCATCCAGACCAAAGCGTCATCCTGTCTCTACCTGGATGAGAAATCCTTCCCTGTCTGCAAGCAAATTAAACTGAGTGTCCAATCTCTATCACTCCAATACCTCTTTTTCTAATTCCAGCATTCCTTTCCTCTGTCCAATACTTCACCGTCCCACCTCTTTTCCCTCCCTGATGTCAGAGATTTACAAATGCTCTTAAGCAGACACACATCAGCTCTTCTCCTCCATATCATTTAACACAGACAAACTGACACAAAGAAAATAATATTACTTAAGTGGGCAGACTAATTAGACTAATTTATTTCATTTCACCAGAACTTCACTGTTCTGTTTCCAATTCACTCTGGCACCATGGGACACATTCCCCTCATTCTTCCTTCCCATCACTAGGAGCAGTGACAAATGAGCTACATCTTGTTACTCTTCTGAGACTCCACAGTTGAAAAGGACATTGGAAAATAAAACATCAACCTCTCTGTTTCCAGCTTTCACAATCTGAACAGAGGAGCTGTCTTGTGATCCAAGAGCACAGGAGTGGATTGTCTATCGGCAATCCCAGCTCCATGCCTTACTAGCTGAAGAGAAATAGTTGAGATGTTCCCTTGTACAAACTGGAAGGGGAATTTCGGACTATTTGGGCAGCATGGTGACTCGCCAGGGTGCCAGGTGACACGGTGCAGATGACCAGTGCTGAGGTGCACATAAAGGTACACATAAAGCTGCTCATTTCACCCTCTCTCACCATGCAGTCCTAATGACCATGTAAGGAAACCAAATTAGCTGTGCTTATGAGCCTCACTTACAGCTGATTTGTTTATAGAGCTCTGTGAGGTAATTGTAGCTTGTCCTGGTTCATGTGAACTTATTTCCCAGCACTGCTTTTAAGAATGTGTGGAAATGCATACCAAAATCTTTCAGATACACCAGAGACAGACCATAGGACTGGCACAGATAAACTGCAGGTCCCCCAGTGTGTGCAAGGGTTATGTTTGCCTGTCACTGCCTGCCCATCCCTCTCCTTTTGTCTTTGATTAAAGATACAAGCCACACACTGACCAGCACGTGGACAGCCAGCAAAGTAAGTGCAAGGAGGTTCCCAAGCACACACACATACAGCTGAGGCTTTGTTCTGCTCCTGTTTACTCACAGGGCGAACAGTTGAGCATTGTTTCTGTTTGACAAATTCTAACTGTCCAGCTAGGAAAGATCTAGTTCCAGCTGGTTAGAGCCGCTTGGATGTCTTAACCTCCTCCCCTTCCCTCTTCCATAATTCACGGATCCATTTTACCTAGAGACAGAAAGAACAACATACTCCTTAGGTGCCTTCCCACTTTGAACTGACACCAGCCTCATCGGGTCCCTACTCTGCCTGGCAGCAGAGGTAAGATCCTTATGAAGCATGGCTCAAAAGGTGAACTCAACTTGCAGGTGGCCCAGACCTTAGGGTGCTGCACTTGTGTTACGATTAGGAGCAGTGAAGAGTGACCCTTTTGTAGTCCCTACCAAGTGCTCTCAGCTTGTCAGGCACTGGAGAACAGCAGACACTTGACAGTGTTGGAGCACAGCCACAGGAATCTCAGAGCTGTTCACTACCTAATTGCTTTTTTTGCCTTGTATAGCACCTGATGCTGCAGAGAGTGATCATCCACTGTACAACACCAAATATCACGTACGACTCTTGATCCCAGACTCAGAAAATGAGTATCAGAGCACACTCTTGTCACAGCAAAGTCACTCATTTTCTGTTAGACAGACAAAGTAAGGCCAGAATGGCCAGAATACCACTAAGTGCTGGATTTACATCCTCTTTCCATCAAGTAAATTACGTTACTTTTTTCAAGACAACTTACTACTTTAGAAGGACATTGAGGCTCTAGCACAGCAGAAGAAACAGGTGTCTCAGGGACTGTCATCTCAAGTCTTCACAGAGAAGGGGTGGCAGAATCAGTTTGGTGCTAAATGACATAAGATGTCCTAAAGATCTGCAAAGAGAACACAAAAGTTCTGGAAATACAGAACCAAGCTGAAATTCCTGCCTTAGCGAGGCCTAAAGTCTTACTCCTAAGGACATGAGTGTTATATGAACTCCATACAAACAGGTGCTTGCTAGCTTCACTCTTCAGTCAGAAAGGTGGATTCAGAAACTCTCTAATCCATTTTCCAATTTATCCTACTTATGTTACATTTCAAAACTAGTTTCCATTTCACTTCTTTTCCTTCTGTAATTAAAAGTCAATCTTGACCTAATGCTGAAATGGCTCTAAATAGACACACACACACACACACACAGGGAAATCTTTGAGAGCATAATTTGAAGCTAAATTTGTCCCATCACCCAGAATCCTGACCTTTGACTCCTGACCAAACAGTATGCCTGGATATTGAGTGCACAGTTCATGTGTATGTAGTTTGTGCTTGTATATGTAGTTAAAGTAATGCAGTTTAAGTACTACAAAATGTGTCACAAAATTCAAATGTAACAAGCAGAACACAAGCCCCCAAGTTCTTCATTTGTTTATCCCACTGTTAGTACACAAACCAAGGCTGAGTGTTAACATTTAATGGGCTGCTTTAAGCTTCTTTGCATGCCAGCCTTGTGTGTGAGAGCACTGATTTGCCGCTTAGAGGGGGAAATGGTTCTTGTGGACCCTGTGAGGGAAGGCAAGCTCAGCCTCAGTACCCTGAGCCTAGCTCGTATCAGCAGATCTCATGATTGCCCCTCTTGCTTGTTCCTCCAGTTGCTAAGAATTCTGTAGATAAAGTTCACTTTATCTGAAGGGAGGAAGTTGCTGCTGGATGCAGTCAGGAAGGACAGCAGCCTGTTGCACACAGCAATAGCTTTAGAGGAACAGTCATTTTCCCATGCAGATGGGAAAACAATGTTAACCATATGTGTGCCGTGCCACTCATTCAGCCTGTAACACTCCAGCAAGCTGGAAGGAAAGGCCTTTCCCCTTAACATTTAAAGGGGGAGAAAATAAATTAGTGAAGCTCATTGGTAGCCTGAGCTGACAGAAACAGAAATCCTGAAATGAGAGGCTGTGAGGCAGGGACTCCATACCTTGCACTGCAACAGGGATCAAGCCTTTCCCCCTGCTCTCAACTCCCCGTATAACCATAACAGGTTGGGCTTAGCGATTAGCAAAGAACACGATGCCCAGGAGAACTGATAGCTGCCGGTCCAGTTCAGCTGCCAAGGGTCAAGGCTGCTGGAGAAAGCACTGTATGCTCAGGAGCTGATCACACAGTTGTTTTAAGAGTCACTCAGGGCTATCTTTGGAGGGCACTCGGAAGATTAGCTGATCTGAAAGAATGCAGACAACCAGGACATTCTCTTTTCAAATGTGCTCTGCTCAGTCATCCTTTCTTTTGCTCAAGTAGGAAGTCTGAGGACAAGTGATAGCAACTTCCATATCAGGCTGCCAAGCCCTCAGTATTTGTCAAAATTATCCTTTGAACAGATGGCTTCTGTGGCAGTAAAGCTCACCATGGCCATCCCTAGGCTCAGATTAAGTGGCAACATCTCCAAGCTACAAAGGTAGACAGTACCTTCTCGTTTCAGCTGCTAAGCAAATAATTTAGGGAATGATAAAAAAAAAAAAAAAGGAGAATGATAAAAAAAATGGGGAATGATAAAAAAAAGGAGTAAAGCCTTCAAGCCTTCCAGTGGTTATCTCCCCATTAAACATTTCTTCCTGGGAGGGCTGAAACAAGCGAACACATGCAAGGGCACGTGCCTCCCGGAAACCAAAGACAAGCCTCCCTGTGCTGAAAGAGTGCTTTGCTGAATTGCAGCATAGTATAATGCAGGCAGGCAGCCCCAGAGCTGGCTCTTCTGTGGGAACTGAAGCAAGTGGATCAGGATCTTGTTTACAAGGAGCAGCCACTTGGGTTTGGAGATACTGACAGTGAGCCTCAAAAGCTGGGAGGACTTGAAATATCCCCAAGGACGCAACATAATGTGTGTATCCCAAGCCTTGGTTCTCTCTGCTTATGTCTGCTGCTTTATGGGGGAGTTACAGTTTGTCCTTTGCAACATCATTTTAATTTTTTATTGCTCTAGGATTAAAGTCCTCGCTCCCCTTAAGGAACCAAGGCCCATTGACTCAGTCCTTACACAACCAAAAATTTACCACTTGGCCAGCCTCTCAGAGGCCTTATATCTGCATATTCTGATAAGATAAGGATACATCAAAGGTGTGATTAACTCTCCAATTGCCTCTCTGAGCTCCTTTAGCTTTGTCCCTGAAGCATGGTTACTTTGAAGTGTGAGTCATTTGCTCCCCACTTACATAAGTCCTTCAGGGCAATCTCTGCCCTGTGTTAGGTGCAGTCTGGCTGTCACTCTGCCAGAGAAAAGTTACAGCAAAGCCCTGCCTGGAGCCTGGAGGGAGCAGCAGGCCATAATCTCTTCTAAGCATCAACAGCCACCCTGCTCTGAGGTACGAGTCCCCAGCCCAAGTCACCTCACTAGTCTCTTGGTGCAGTGCTCCCCCAGCAGAGTTCTTCTCTGGAGAACAGCATTATTTTTAGTGATTTAGGACAGATCTGACTTAATCACCTCACTGAGCCCCCCCAGTGCAACACACCAGTATAACCAGTAGTCCCAGCTACTCATTCCTGGAGCTCTTTGCTCTCAGTACAAAATCATTATCTGCCATCCCTTCTGAACAGTTTGTCGGATGTCCCAAGTGCTGTTGTATATAGGTTACTGGGTGCAGGGTGCTTGGGCTAAAGAGCAGGCAGCTGTAGCCAAAGGTGAGTGATTCCTCCCCAGAGGAATCCCCAGGAGGAAACCCCAGGGCTCCATCCCATAGGTAGCCACCTTTCTTGAGCCATAGAGCTGATCAGCAGAGCTTCTTTGTGGCTGTGATACAATCTTTCCTTCTAAGGTCTTGACATGCTTTCTGTTCAGGACATGGCTAAGCAAAGTGACTAGCACAACCTCAGTGGCAGTCTCCTGGTCACACAGATTAGCATGTTATGTCTCATCCAGTGATGTTTTAACTTATTCTAAAAGCTAAGTCACTCGGTTTAGCACAGGTGAAAGATGTTTCATGCTTTCTGAACTCAAAGTCTCTCTCTCTCCACATGCACCAAGAGACACAAACACTTGCTTATCCCAGTAAGTCCTCCCCATAATGGTACATTTCCCATATCAAATCAAATACCTGGAAAAAGAAGGTTTGACAATTAAATCTTAAAATCTGCTGGAAGCCACAGAAAATTTTTGGTTTTGTGCTTTGAAACCACCTTGATATTCAACCATGCAGAGAATTCAGTGTTTGAGAGGGGTGTTTTTTTGGGTGACAGAAAGGGAGTTGCATTTCCCTTCACACTCTGAGCACGTGGACACCAGAGGTGCAAAAAGCAAGATCCATTCCAGACAGGGAAGGGAAAGGAGGGGGCAGTGAGAAGCGTGGAGACAGACCACGTAGGCAAAACAGGAAGTTCTGGCTGAAGAGGAAATGCTTCAATGCTATCTTGAAAACATTTTGCTGTGAAACTGCATGCAGCTATAGAGAGGTGAAAGAAAAGCAGCTTTCTGCAGATTCAGCAGTCTGAAGCTCACGTCCTGCCACACGTGGGCTGTTGTCCCTCTCCCTGAGGAGGGGAGGCAGCTTGTGCTGCTCCTGTACGAGCAGCTGGAGAGAGGAACCAGGCTTCTGGAAAGCAGCCTGAACACAGACACTTCCTTTTCTTGTGCGCAGGCTGCTTGTGTCCTTTCGGGTGGTTTCTAGAAGTAGGTGAGGCACGCTCATAATCCTTCAGCAGCACGTGCTCTTCTGCTTTAGAAGCAGCTTGTCCAGTGACCACATCAGCTACATCATGCAGCATCATTCCCAGTCTGGTTTTGGCTGTCAGGATCCCACACCAGGGCAATGTGGTTCAGCAGCAGCCTCAAAAGCCTCAGCGACACTTCATCAGCAGATTAGTTTCCCCAGGACTCTCAGAAAGAGTTGTGACATACAGGTTTTAAGAGAAAATGGATCAATGGGGTCACAGTGAACCTATTGGAACATTCCCGTTTAGAGGTGATGTACTGTTCATCTGCTTTAGCATATTGTACTGCCTGTGCAACTAGAGAGGAAGCAGACTCCTCTTTAAGGGCCAGGAGATGAAAAGTGTGAGCAGTAAGAAAAGGCCAGAAGTGCCAAGTGTCTAGAGACGAGAATAATCCTTGTGTATCAGGTTGTGATGTCAGGTAAGGCACAGATATCACTAATGCCTGGCTGCAGCCACACAGCTCCTTCCTTCTGTGAATTATAATCATTACAGGCATTTATGCCTTCAGACAGCCTTTCTCTGAGCATTCAAGGGTACTCCCCATGAATGAATGACAGGATGAAAGTCAATGAGCACTGTTCTTCCTAATTCTGACATCTCAAGAAATAACTGAAACCTCCTGGACCTCAGTTGTAACTTCCCATTTAGTTTGTTAAATGCCAGGACGCCTCTTGTGCAAAAGCAAGGCAGCCTCTTAAAGCCAATTTAGATAATCCCATGATCCACGGGACAACAAACAGGCAGAATTTCCGAGTACAAAGATAGCCCTGTAGTCAACATCTCTGAAGCTGAAAGACTCTTTGTGTTGCGCAACCAGCATCATCTCTGAGTTTTCTCAGAAGCCGGTGTAAAGGGGCTCACTCCAGCCTCCTGTAGAGGGAAAAGCTCCAGTTCTGTAGAGGGTGAAGCTTCCTTGCCTGCTGTGCAGGGCTCCTCCAGCACAGAGGGCAGCTGCTGTAAGGCTCACACACATGTACACACACACACATGATCTACCCAAACTGCTTCTGTTGCTCTGGGGCTTCAGCAAAGCCTGTTATCTGTTTTGCTGAGTAGTCTTCTTTTTCTTTCTAATGATGGTGAAAGGCAGTTTTCAGTTTGCTGTCGGTGGTGATCTCAAAATGACAGGCCAGCGAAACATTGCGTAGACCACAAGGGAGTGTTTTCCTTGGCAGCATGCCCAACTCTGTCATATTAATGCTCAGCCAAGAGCTATTGTCCTTGACAAGTGACTCTGCACTGGCAGAACAGGATCCACTGCACAATTCTTCCCATGTGCTACGCTGCTGCTGTCTTCTGAACCTTTAGAAGGCTGAAATACCTGCCAGAGCCAGAAAACTCACATCCCCTAAAACCAGTTATTTATCTCACAGAGCTAGGGGGCAGCGATTTGGCATTGGAGAAGAGAAGCTGTTTTGCCCAGAACTTAGCTACAGAACAGCACTAAATGCACCCAGAAGACACCTAGGCCAAACAAAAGCAAGTAGGCTGTGTGACAGTGAGGGAAGGGCATTCACACTGTGCGAGGGTACACTGCCAAGTGAGCAGAGTAGGCAGTGCACAGCTGGCTCCTGTACAGCTGGCTTAGGGCAGGGTGTAGAAAGCACTTCAGAGACAACTAAACTCCCATGTTTTATCAACACTGAAACATCCTGTCCTTGCTCTGCTTTGTTAATGACCTCTCATTTGTGATCAAAAAAAATGCAGATTCACAAATACAAGATTGGAACATTTTCTTTTGGTGATGAACAAATCCTTCCCATCACAGAAACCCTCCCACACAAAATTCTCCTTCCATTTATCTGTGACTTCCAATTAATAAATGCTTTGTTGTAAAGTTGTCAGCCCTCCTGAGTGGAGCAGGGCACAATCAAACTGCTCAAATACTGACAGTAAGGATTTCCTTTTGAAAAAAATAAATGAAAGAACACGATGTGAACAACAGAAAACAAACCTGAAGGGGATTCTGGGGAGCCAGTGAGACCAGAGAGGACAGCACAGGCATTTTGGGCACTTCAGATAGCTCTCAGCTTCAGTCCAGCGCCCGTGTGCCAACAAGACCTAGAGGAAGTGTGTACACACTAACTTTCACAAAAGAACAGAAAAACCTGAGTGTGCCCAGTTGGTGTTTAAGAGAGATGTCTTTCCCCAGCAAAAGTTAGACCTTGGTTATGGCTTGCTGCCTGTTGACACACTAAGCTGCTGAGCCCAAAGGAGAGGCGCCCCCAGCCAGCATGGTGCACAGAACCCCACTCACCTGCAGGCAGTTCCTGGAGCCCCCTGGAAGGTGTTCCCCTGCTCAGGGAGGTATTTGTGCTCCCTCCTACTAAGTGAGAATGTGGTAAGCTTGAGGTCATGACATGTTCTAGTCAGATAAATGCAGGAGCTAGAAGGACACCCATCCACGCTGTGCTGGCTGCTTCTGAGGGCAGAGATCTCTGAGCCCAAGAAGTCAAGTGGTTCCAATCTCCACTAATTTGTCTTTCAGCTGAAAACTTTCTGGTGCTTTGTCTCATTCACTGGGGAATCTCACCCCTGCCACTTTCATTTTGCTTTTAAGACAGAAAAGGAAAGGAGACATTCTTTTTATTCTTTTTCATTCTGTAAATCTTGGAACAGAACACCGTGTGTCTGTTTTATTTTTAATTGTTGATGTTGTGATCGCTTTCTTATTTGGGATATTAGACAAACCTTCCTTTCCCTGATGAAAGAGCGAGAACACCCACTGCATGTCTAAAGCAAGAAAATACAAGAGAAGCTCCACAAATGGTTTTGCTCTGTTTTTGAGATGGAATCTGAAGAGGAGGTTCATGAATGAAGTCTGAGTTTTATGGAAATGCATTACACTTTTGGACTTTAAAGAGAAATATAGTGTTGCTGTGCTCTGCCATTTGTAGCTTTTTGGTATTCTTTACATAGACCTTTTCTCTTTTTATACTTAGACGAGGTTGTGCTTCCTTTCCCATCCCAGGGGATTGCCAGTGAGGTTTGAATAGAGTAATTTATTTTCCTAAATTCAGAAAGTGTTACCATTTCTTTGGCTGAGTCACCTAAGCATGATCAGACACAATTTTCAAAGGTGGCTGGGGATTTGAGTATTCAGTTAAACCAAGAGAAACTGAATCTCCCAATCCTCTGAGGTACTTTGGGAAAATCTCTTGCTAAATGTAGCAGCTTAATGATGATCTAAAGATACATGAAGACATTTTCATCTCTTTTACTGAAAAATCAAGGGCTGCCTCCACACAGTGGAAACTTGACAGGCATTAAAGAACATCACAAACATCATAGAGGCAAATCTTACTCCATTCTTCTGGACTGCAGCTCAGGTGGTACCCCTGTTTGTTTCCTGAAGCATGGCTATATTACAGGGCTAGGGCAGTATATCTGCTGTGTTTTGGGGCTGCCTTTGCACAGGAAACATAGAGAATGGCACGTCAGAGGTTTGCAGCATGCTGTTAGGATACAGGAAGTGCTCATCCGGGTCAGGTGGTTTGATTCAAGTTCACATCTCCATATTTCCATTCATAAGTAAAACAAGAATTGGCACGAGGACACCGACAAGGAGAGCTCTCAGAGCACTGAGGGCACCAGGTGCCCTTAGGTGCCCATTGGCCCAGCAGCCCTGCTTAGGCTCAGGCATTGGCTTCTTCTCCAAGTGCTGTGCTGCTTGTTTAGTTTTATTGTCTGTGTCGTGCTGTCCTGACTGTGCTTGTGGCTTGTCTTACTGCTGAGGTGTGACCTGTTTCTGTTTCGGTGCTGCAGCTGCCTTCATGAGGCCTGCTGTGCCCCGGGCCTGCTCTCTGCGCAGCCAGGCCAGCAGGTGGCTAGCTGGACATCCCAGCTCCCCTGCTCCCACTGCTGCTTGGACAGGCGTGCTGAGTGCTCACCTGACACCCATCCTTGGCACTGGGTAACAACATAAGGGCTTCAGTAAAACCCCTGGGAAATGCAGGCAGTGTGTTAATCTATCTCCCCACCTGTTGTCTGTAGATTTCAGCCAATTTCCACACAGTGGTTACTTTTAATCTGTTCCCTGTGTGGAAGGATTTTTGTCAAGGTGCAAGCCAGACCAGTCACCTATTTTTCAAGAGGCTTATTTTGTTTTATTAAATCTTGTGCAGAGTTAAATACAGGAGCCCTTGGTACAAGGGAAGGTAATTGTTTTACAGACCTGGTCTGTAGGGAACTTAGTGGAGATGGCTTTTAATAAAAAGCCTCTGGAAGGATGCCATGATTTAATTGAAAGGCCACCCCACAGAGCAAGGCACATGCTAAAACAGGAGGGTGTGGATTAAGCCCTGCACAGCCAAGTATGGCCATGAACATGTCATCCTGTGACAGCAATTTCTGGCCCAAATGACTACCTGCCCCAGCAAGTCTTTCCCAGCTCCTGTGCTGGGAATATTTTCTGGAATGCTGTGAGGGGCTTCCCAGCTGTGTGCCAGCTGGCCCTTTTAAGGACTCCATGTGTCCGAAATGAGACTCAGGGCTGGTGCCTTGCTGTTCTTTTTGTTCAAGAGGAGCTGCCAGCAGCACTCTGGGGACACATCAGGGTGTGCCTGGCACAGCAGGCTGTGTGCAGTGCCAGACTAAGTAACCCAGCTTTGCTAGAAAACCACCAGAACCAGGAGAAACTGTGCTGCCTGGGTGGAGCTGAGAAGATGATGGAAGTTACCTAAGCAGTCTTTCATTGAGAAAATGGCTAGACAACCTTCTCCTCCCTTGTTTCTATGTGCTTTGGTTTGATGTCCACATGGGAGTCCCAGCAGTCCTGATCCCTGTCCTTACCTGGTGTGGTATTAGCTCTGTAACTGGCTTCCTATGGTCAAGGGTGGGCACAGGTTCATGGCAGCAGCTCTCCTGGGAGAGAAACTGGAGCCTGGATGTAGGAGTACTGTGGAGCTTGGCAGACAGCTGTTTCTCCCAGTTTGATGCAGTGCCTCGCGTTCCATTCCCAGGGTGTTTCCTCTGGTGAGGTGACACCACCTGGTGCCAGCCTGCAAAGCTGCCTCTTTCTCTCCCTGGACACAGCCACCTGCTAAGAGCCTGTGCTGGTAGGGCAGGGAAATGCAGGCACCGAGGACTCGAGTTTCTCTTAGCAGTATTCCCACCTTGGGTGGCAAGGTTGCACACAGGGTATGGGTTTATGTAGATCTGCTGAGTGCCTCCATGAAATCCTGACCGGATTTGGCAACTGGGAGATGAGAAAGCAATTTCTCTGCTCTGCACCTCATCTGGTATTTTGTACAAGGCCACAAGATCACAGGCAATGAGGAGATGACTCTCTCCAAACCCCAGAGATATAAAATCATGCCAAGGGGAAGGGGGGAGAAAGTGGGACCGTGTGGAAGAAAAAGAAAACCAAAGCCAAACAAACCCCATGAAACCAAAACCAAACAGAAAAACCCACTAACAAAAATAAAACAAATAAAAAAGCACAAAGCAACACCAAAAATCCCCACAACTGGCATGTCCTTCCCCCACAGTAACAGGTACCTCCCTTTTGTGGTAGCCTGGTAGATTTAGGGGTTTTCTGGAACACGTGATTGGAGAGGGCTCCTTTACAGCCTACATCTTGAACTGCTAGAGGAAACAATCAGTGTAGCAGCAACCTAAATAACAGTGAGGCATAAAATCAGAAACTGACACTCAAGCTTGATATAGAAACAGGCAACAAAGAACCTCTGAAAAACTGTTCTCATTTCCAGAGAATTTCTGTGAGCATAAACACCAAGCTGAAGTGGAAGTGACCATACAGAATCTGCAGCCATGAGAGGACAGGTCTTGCACCTTGGTTCACTGAGAGAAACAAACAAAAACCTGTCCTCATCATGGGCTGGGTCCTGGAGAGCTGTTCTGTGAGCAAGGACAGAATTGTGGGCAGTTTTACTTCATCTCCACGGTCTTTGTTTCATGCTGGATAGAGCAATGCATTGCCATTTGCTTGCCAGTTTGTTGTGACTGCTGCCCGCAGTATCAAAATCTCTTTGTAAGGTTTTCCATCTCTGTTTGCCCTGATAATAGATGTTGGGACAATCTGGAAACTTGTCCTTAAATGTCCAGCTGTGTCTCCAGCACTGGTGAAATCTAACTGGCACTTCCTAGGATGAGGCAAACACATAAGTGAAGCAAAATGTCATACTCAGATATGAGTGGATTCTCTGGGGAGGAATCCAAGGTCTAAGCAGTTTGCTGGCAAAACTCAGCTAGAAAATTGTGATTGGAGGAAGCTTCACCAGTTCCGTGGCTCCAAAGTTATGTCACATTTCTTTAATTGCCACACAGCTGCTGTAGGGCTGGTAGTGCTTTCAAAGATGCTTTTATCTTGCAGGCAGCAACAGACTGTATTTGGCAGAACCAGCCTCTGATAATATTTAAGCACAGACCACAGCATGTGGCAAAATAACTGTAGCAACTGCCTGAAGAAAGCCATTAAAACAAGCAGCTGTTTATTCTGATGCTTAATGAGTAAGCAGTTAGAGTGTTGCAATTTTATACTTACTGAAACGTTTAAGAGCCCTTCAAGGCAAATGACAGTAAACTGGGGTAATCTAAGTCTGGTATTTATCTGGAGCTTACCTTCAGGTACCTGCTCAGAGCTTCTCAGCACAGGGGCCATGTGCAGCTCAGCAGTGTGAGACTGCCTGAGAGGGAGAACAAGTCAAACCACATGACAGGAGAGATTGGGGGTACTTCTGGCAGGTACTGGAACAACAGCTGTTGTTCTAAACATCAGGTTTTGCTGTTGTTAACCTGGAACCTATCTTTTTTATTTTATTTTTGACCTGAAAAGTGATGTGTGGAGGTAGAGATACTTGCTTTAAAAAAAAAAAAAAACCAACAAAGTTCTTGGGCTTGGGGGATGAGGGTTGGGTAGAAGATGACTGTAATTATTTCAGTGGAATTTATAATAATGAAAGATGGTGCTCTAGAATAAACCTGGTCAGACTCACCTATTGGAGGGGTTTTTTTTAGTTTGGTTTTTTCCCCGAAGGTGATACACTTAACTTACTGCCTGAACTAACAAAATACAACCCAGAGTAATTACCGCACAAATGTATCGGAAATAGATACATAGAAATAATAACTGCAGAGCCAATATTTCATCCCTTTCAACATTGTGTCTCTCTCCCCGGAGTTCTCCTAGGAAGGTAGGCCAGCCCAGGCCCTGCAGGGATTGTGTTCAACAGCAGCAGCAGGAGAACTGACAGCCGCTGTTCCCTCCCACGTTTTCAGTATAGCAACACACCCAAACTGAGCTTGGGAAGTATATATTCACTGCATAATTTCTGTATCGCATTAACAAGCTTTGACACTAATGCTAATGCTGCATTAGAAGGAACATGACAAGTAGGCTGGTTCGGTGTGCATTTAGTACAGAAAGCTTTCTAGCACACACAGTGAGACTTTTGTTGCCGCTCGACAGCTTTGGCTGTTTCAAATCTCTGCTCAGTCGCAGGGGAGGTGCAGCCAGCAGTGCCTTCCCTCCCTTGGCTGTGCCGGGGTCCTGGTGCAGAGACCGATTCTGTGTGTACAGGCACAGACACTTCATCTCCAGGCCTGTTTCGTTCCGGATGTCCCTCGGCAGACGCTGCAGACGAGCACAGAAATGGGGGACCGTGGCTTTGCCGGCCTGTTGAATGGAGCAACAAAGGCAGCACTCCTGACGCTGCAGAGTCTCCAGAGGGGGAAAAGTCGCAGTCTCGTACGTGGCAGCCCGACCTAGATCACCGAAACAACATCACCGAAATTAAGCGGCAAGAGCACTTGTTTCAAAAGCAGCAAACCCCGCCGTGCCGGGGTGTCTCGGAGCGGTGGCACTTGGGGCTGGAGGGCGCACAGGAACCGGCCGGGCCCCCCCAGCGGGCGCAGGTGTTCCACAGCAAGCCGGGAGTGAAGGAAGGGCCCG